TATATATATATATATATAGGCTTTCATCTTCGCATACGGTTAGCGCGTTGATACTTGTTGCTATTTAAATGTTTTACAGGAAAGATAGCATCCTGGTTTTACAGAGTATTGCATTTTATAGGGTGAAGTGCGAAACGGAACTTGTCATAGTCGATTGGGTAACGGCACATTTTATAATGGTGAAAAAAACATATATACAAACAACGAATTTTATAAAATAACCGATAAAGTTGTTCCTACACATATGGGAAAACACGAGTAAGTAATTTACTATTTCTATAGTTTACAACACTGGTTTTCAGTTATTTATTAATTATTATTGTAGAGTGAGTCATTCTCATCATCTTAGTTATATATTATTGTACTATAGAAGTGTTTCATGAAAATCTTATTATTAAGAACTTGTTTTTTAATTTGATTTTCGTTTGGAGCCCTTTTAATCATTTCTAATACATCTGGTTCAGGGAGATAACCGACACACTCTGATTTGATCCACAGGTGGTCTTTATCTTTTCTGCACGTCGATGTTTCCAGTTCGTGAAGATATCACCCCTGGTTACATTTCCAATAACACTTCCACACTGAGACGTGCAATAACACTGCACTAAGTTCTTATTCATGTATGTAGTTTGGCGAAGGCGAGATATCCGTCTATCAATTAGGGGACGAGTATACTGCGCGTCAGTTCGTTCTGTTCTATTTTACGGCTGCGAAACGTGGCCATTAAGAGTAGAAGATACTCGTAAGCTACTAGTATTTGACCACAGATGCCTTATAAATATTTCTCACATCTTTACGGTTATGGGATCATCGGGTAAGTTACCGATAATCACGGCGCGCAATACTGACTAGTGTTGGGGATGGTTGGAAGAAAATTAGGATCGGCCAAACCAAAACGTGGCATCAGTACTTTAAGTTACTAGATTCTAGTCTTAGTCATACTGGTAGATGCAGACTACTTGGTTGAAGCTCGTGTGACTATCGTAACGAATGATTGGAGACTCTGGGTGACATGACTCAGAATCGATCACAGTGACGTAGAAGTGTACACTCTCTGTCTTCCCTTAAACTATGAGATTACGATTGCTTTATATCTTCCTTTATACTGTAGTCGAATTGGGATTACCAATTGTATCCGTATTGGGATTACCAATTGTAGCGTGGCGTCGAGTTGAGATTAACTATGAACACCGCTACCAAGAAACACGTGCCAATTAGATCAGAAGGCGTAAGAAGCTCGTTCCAAATGACTCCATAAAATCCCCGAGAAGCCAAATACCAGAAGGCAATTAATGGACCAAGTCGATGTTTATTTGTTGGCGATCTCGTGGCATCGAAAGGATACCGAGATCGTGCCAGGATACAAGCTTGGTTACAGAGCGTAACCGAATTCGCGCGAAGTTACAATCAAAGTGTGTGTAAAAGAATGGAAGCACAAAATAGCTGTCATTAGCACAGTTAAACAAAAGCACATTAAAACAAACACTGGTACAGTTGGTTATAATAATAATTGTTTTTATTAAACCAGTCGTGTTCTCGTGATAAACGTGAGTCACTACAGGAGCCCTCCGCTAGAAAGGGTTTACACTTTCGATAAATAACGGTTTGAATCGTGGGACTGATCGGCTGACGAGCGATTGTAGGACGAAAAGATTGGCGAACAGGAAAGCGATCGTTGATCGTCGAGTTGCCAACGAAGGTCGTTTTCGGAGAACGGTACCAGGAGCGATGTGCTGTATTTGCTGTTTGAGTTGGCATGCTACACCAGAGTGGTTTGTATCCAGAAGCTGAAGAGGGCGTTCGTAGGGAATGCGGACCAGAAACGCTGCAGACGAAGGACGAAACCACGTTGAGCCAAAAGACCAGAAGCGACCGTAACGACCAAGTTCGAGACCAAGCGTATGCCAAGCATTCGAAACCAATATATCGACTGAGTACGTTGACAAGAGCGTGGGTGATCAGGCCAGCTTTCGCCAAAGTTGACTGAAGTCGACGGAACCAAACGGAGATGGTCGAAGGCGTGGGCTCAGGAAACAAAAAGAAAATCAAAAAAGAAGAGTGTAGCATGCAAGTAGCATAGGAATATTCCTACACCGTATCGGTTGTCGACTGTGCGACTATTCGCGGAAGCGTACGGGTAACCGTACTCGGCGACCGGAACGTGAGACGATAGTCTCGTTCGCGTCGCGTGAGCCTGCAATCTCATCCGAAGTCAAGGGCGGCGTGGTCTGCTGATCTGGACGTGAGACTGTCGTCTCGTCCGTAGACGGTGCGGATGACGCGTGCTGTTGACTGGGACGTGAGAGTGAGGTCTCAGTTGTATCTAGCGTGGGACCTGGAGATGGTTTGAGGATCCCGCTAGTAGGTTTACTTGGTCTAGCATTGAATCTCAGGTTATCAGATAGGGCACTGTCATCGACGTGTGCTGGTTTGAGACGATCAATGCTGACGATCTCGACGCGTCCATGTCGATCAACCTTGAAGGTCTTTTCGTGACGAGCGATCACGTGAAAAGGGCCTTCGTAAGGTTGTTGCAAAGGTTTGCGTACCGAATCTACTCGTATGAAAACATGTGAACAGGTAGATAACTCTCGAGGGAGAGCGACCTGTCGATGTTGTATTCGAGTTGACACCGGAGGCAGCGTTCGCATAAATGCAGACAGTCGTTGGACGTAGTCTGGTTTAGCGGAATTAGGTCTGCTCCGTGGTGTGAAGGATTCTCCGGGCAGACGCAATGTCGTGCCGTATACCATTTCAGCGGCGGAACATTGTATATCTGCCTTCAAGCTCGTTCGAATACCTAAGAGGACGAGCGATAAGGTTTCGTACCAGTTGTCGTTCTCGTGTGCTCTTAGAGCACTTTTAAATTGGCAATGAAACCGTTGAACTTAACCATTTGGTGCTGGGTGGTAGACGGATATGCTTATGCGTATGCATTCCGTACCAAGCAGCCGGGTCAGCGAGGAGAATCGTTAATAGGGTAACATTTCTCGAATAGAGCGTGGAATTCATCATCACGCGAATAAAAAGTGACAAGGATTCGGTACACATACGTGTGAGTCTATTATATTAATACTATTCTTATCGTTATCCGTCATGTCGCGTATATTATATATTAAAAAATATGAAAATATACGACAGACGTGGATAGATAAATCATAGACTCACCGAATTGGCTTCTTTGGAAGATTTGACCAGAAGCTGAGGCGTGTTCCAAAATACGGGTCACCAATTGTAGTCGTGTTCTCGTGATAAACGTGGGTCACTACAATACTACCTAATTCTTTCTTCATGTATTATATCCTTATATGCAATCTTTATTTTATATATTACCACCACTGAATTAGCTGCTTCTGTGAATTCGGTGTTCATCAACAAGTACACGAAAGCAAGGAAAATCACAATCAGTACTAAATCATTGCCCTTTTTGAAACGGAAGTCATTGATATAGAGGAGTAGTAATGGACGTTTACCTCCTAGAACTCATCTGTTCTGAATACAAGTCAAACCCTTTGGAGTCTTCATCCTGCCTTAAGTCTAGTACATGGTAGCTTATTAGGAATAAAAGTGCATCTTGAAAAAATCACATATCATGACTATTTTAGCGTATGTATATTCTCACAAGGAACTGCTCAGTAGATGTTCGCCTAAAATCAATAAGATCACAGCTTTCATGACGGCGAACCATTGAAAACGATGCAAACTACGTCAGCTAAGCTGATTCCGATAATAGAAAATCTAACTCAAGTCCCCTAGCTACGTGAATTTTTCACAAAGAAAGCGACACTAAAACTTGAGGAAATTATGGAGTCTTGATATTTGGTTCGCGAAGTTTGAAGTGATTTTAATGAAAATGGAGAGAAACGAAACTGTAAACGATTTCACACTGTAGCACGAGCTTTAGTTATTCATAATCTAGGTCTGAAACATTGGACAGTTTCTTTTGAAACTGTTTTAGCTTTATTCGCAACAATTCAAGAAAAATGTAAGAGCCAAGTTTGAAGTTTAACCTTGTTACTTTTTGTTGTTAGACTCTGTGTTTAAGTGGTAATACTTGTGGTTAATATAACTAGCCATTCTCACTCGCTCTGTATTCTACCTCTATTTCTACAGGGTTGCATAGCTCAAAAAAAATCGCTTTCAGCTGCTGCTGAGATATCTAACCTTAGTAACCGATGTTTTGACAGGTTAGTTGAATGTCTTAGAAATACATCGTAGTGGTGTTGGCTTTTGACACATGTTGTGATGTCTGGTACTGATTAATTTCGAACAAGCCCCGTAGTTAGGTCAATTGTAATTATTTGTTACTTCGGAAACATCGCTTCGCCGAATCTTATTTGCAGCGTCATATATTAGTTTCCTGATACAGGAACCCCATTCACTTTAATTGAAGAATGAATTGTTTAGGATTTAAGGGAATAATGGTAAATTCTCATTCGTATTCCGTGCTCAGTGTTCCTAAGGAATCTGTTTGAATTTCCTTTTTCATATAGTGTTCATTGCTGGCATGATTTGGGCACATGGCCTCGGCTTTTTGTTTTCCAGAAAGCTGATTCTCCCTTATTTAAACTTTTCATATTGCTCTCGCAATTTTTCTTACATGAGTCCACTACTTGGAATTTGAACATTCGACTAAACAGGAATCATATGATGGTCGGTTGTACGTGTATTTTATAGTTTAGTCATCCTCAACGTAAAGTCTGGCGCAAATGTTCTTTACCGTGTGTTACCATGTCACAATACCACGATTAGACATCTTTTATCAATAAATGAGTTGAAAATATAGTAGCGAGTATAATAAGAATTACAATGTCGAGAATGTTACTCATTATTTATTTCACATATCCATATTTTCTCTTCCAGGTTTTTAATAAGCGAAATAATCTTAAACGTAAACATTCCTGGGTAGTTGTAGCATACACTAAAAGCCAGACGGTGACGTAACATTACCATATTGTTTCTTGGAGTACTGAAGTTATTCTTTGTTATTTCATTGTGTTATGGGTTGCCACGTTTCCGCTGATAGTTCTAATAGTTTTACGTGGGACGACTATCTTAAGAAAACAAACGGTCGCCCGGCGAAGTTGGAGTGCTTTAAACAGGTTAGTAGTGCATTATTTTGTAGGATACAAATTTGACTTAGAATGAATAGTTTATTTTACTCTCCACAGTAGAAATTAGTGTAGCGCCCTTCAAGACGTGGCACCAGTACAATATTCCATTGGTGGTCGTAGATTTATGAGAAGTGGGGTCTTACCGATCAAGAATAAGTTATTCTTAACTTGTGACTAGAGAATTTAGGTAATATCTCTCCAGTCGCAGTTGCTCCTATGTCCCGATTTTCGTATAACCCTATATTTTTCGTTCTGTGGTTTTACCAGTATCCTTGATACAATGTTATCTGGTGCTCTCGGCAGTAGTTTCACTCACTACCTTATAAATCTCTGATGATATGAAGTATGCCATGTTGGACCGATATATTTTTGTGCCAGATTTCAAGTTATCGGTAACTAATTGCTGCAACCTACCAAAGTCAAACACTTTCAACTCTAGCAAAGTGAAAGTTGGCACATGGATCTGAAGCCTATTAATATTACGAGGTAGAGGAACAGTAAGGAAATAATCCGTCCATGGCCTTAAGGTATAATTCAAAAGGGTTCCTTAACAACACTCACGGTAAAATAACTGGATATTCACGCATATGAGTTTGTACTGCTTAAATTCGATTAACTATATAAGGGCTCAGAATTTTCCTTGTTGGAAAACTTTGTGAGAATAATTGTTCTTGAGTGTCTAATATCATCGAATATTGTACCTATTTTTGACTGCCTATTCTGGTTCCAGTATCAACAATTCCATCGAAATGAAAACTTTTGTGGTGGTACCCCAGTGGTTCATTCATTACGTAGGCAGTAGTACAAAGGCATTGTAGGTATCCCAACATCATCGTAATTTTGTAGATATCTAAGAAATATCTCGTTCATATCCATATTTCATTCAGAGGCTACCAGTCAGTGTTGATACACTTGAATTAGGCACGAAATCCTGCATCTTATTAGTTACCATGTTACTTGCTATCAGGGGCACAGGATATTGCAACCCTGCTGGTTGAAAATCAAGACACTCAGATGCCATTATTTGAGACGGCACATTTGAGTTTTGAAATGTTTATCAACGAGACTAATTGCTTGATTTACTAAAGTATTTGTAACTTTGTTGATAAAACATTCTTACAGCTGTTCATAGTTCCTAACAAGCTTTATTGAATACCACATAAACTACTGGAGAAAGCATTAAATCTAAGGTTCTTCAGACGAAATATTTCCTGTTGATCTAATTGTTGTGGGACACAGGCTGTCGTAAATCAGTAAATTCAGCGTTTACACATATAACACGCAAGTCGACGAAAGAGACATCTGATGCTAAGAAGCAAATGTAAGTTATTGGGTTTAATTTATGTAGTGCTGACAACTTCAAAATATGTCCTTGATCTGCAAGGCTTGTTATGAAGCTATCTGAAGCAGATCCGTGTTGTTCAGAAGTGGAATTCATGTTTTATTTTCGCCTATAAATGTTAAGTGTTCCACATTAGACGATATAAGATGATGGTAGGTGAACTAGTTGGGCACCAAACCTAATTGATTTTTGATCCATTCTCTTGTCCAAATATGTCAATAACTCGCTTGACGTATGCCATTATCATCTGTAATAGAATATCTAACAGCCTCATGAAGGTCTAGTAGATTTATTTATTTATTATTATTTTATTTGAACACAAACATTGGCACGAGAGGGCACCAAATACGTATCCGCCACAATAACAAAAAGGTCAGTAGGAGTTGCGATTGATTTGTGTGAGGTCTGTGATACTACCCGGGCGCCCAAACCGAAGCAGGTGATTTCTTAGGGCGCCACACCCTGAGCTTTAGACTTAAAGGTCCAAAACATATGGCAATGAAGCAACGTCAGGAGATGCAATCTCGTGGTAGCCGGTGACCAACAATAGGTTCATACGCCATTTATTCCCTCAGGATTTTGGAGCCCATGTGCGCCATTGGTTTGGAATTAGGGTTTTCCAACTCACCTAGGTAGACCCTCTGTTTCTACCAGCCCAGTTAAAGCACCGGACATTCGCTTTTCACCCCCTCAATTTCGTAAACAACACCTCTGTCGTGAGAAGGCAATGAGTAGGTCTTCATTGTCAGTGGTTGTATACGCGTGGACATATGGTAACATTTTGAGAGTGAAAGCTGACACGCCCCACCCCCGACCATACCTGGGCATTTGGGGGCAAATGACAGGATGGCGAAGGAGGTTCCGCCCAATAATAATAATTTGTCTTAACTCATTTTGTTTCTTTCGTCCGCACAACGTACTCTCGTTATTTTTATTATATATATCTCTCTCAGGTACATTGTTTCGAACTGTGGGATTGAGAACCTATCAAGTTAAGTGACAGGTTCTATGTTGCTGGTTCGGTTTTTCATATTTCCAGTATTTTTATTTTCCACGCGTTTAGAAGCACTAGGTTTAGCTGAAGTGAAATATTTTGGGATAGTAACTAGTATATCATCAAGTGTAGCTGAGTCTTATGCAATATAGATTATAGCTATTTTGAGTTTTTAGTATATTTTAACAGTTTTTTTAGCGAAACCAATCGCATCCGCTTATTCCATATTGATGTCGATTTTAACATTATTCAACTCTATATAATCGATTATTTCATCTTAATTCCACTTCTAACTGCTCATTTATACATTTCTTACTGTATCAAAACATCAATTTCTTGTTTTTGTTTCAGTCTCTTGTTCCTCCGCCAAACTATTTCGAGGTGAATACCATTCTAGAAGCGGAGGATCAACGTAGCGCAGCTCTTGTTCTCAATCCATATTCAAACGACCTAATAAAAGCACGTTATGCTAATAATTCTACTATTAGTAATCAACAGCTGTTGGAGACTCCATGTAGAAGGTCCAGTCTGAATCCTCACTCCAGTGGAACTGTCCGACGCTTCAGAGCAGCTTCATTCAGTTTAGCTCGAGTGATAGAAACGTGTGGTCCACGTTTGAGAATACGTCTGGTTGGAACTGATGATCGTAATGATTATTGGTTCTTAGTTGATTCTGATCAAATCAGACCTTATCCTTCTGGAAGTCCACTACAACCACCCTTTGGCTACATGCATAATCATCTTGTGTGGAATCGTACTCTTAAGAAAGCAACTGAAGGAACGCGTTTTGCAGATCCTTCGTGGTTCATTTCAGTAAGTCGTAATCTGTCTTATAGTTCGTATTCTGTTTTCACGTTGTTTCCAATTAGTAATACCGTATTTTTTATATTACAGCAACCACCAGATCCAGAGGATAACTACTTCCAAGTGAATGACAAGTTAGAGGCAGTAGATCGTAGAAATACTCAGCTGATATGTCCTGCATCTGTAGGCGCAGTGAATGGCCACCATATTTTGATAAATTTTGATGGTTGGTCAGGAGCTTTTGACTATTGGGCTCGTTTCGATAGTCGTGAACTATTTCCTGTCGGTTGGTGTAAGTCAGCCAACTACCCTCTTCAGCCACCTGGACCAAACGTTATACGCTCTCCAATTATTCATTCAACCCCTAGTTTCTTGTATGCTCATAATTCTGTTTCCCAAGCTCCCAGCATCTCACCAAAATATCTATCTAAAGTACTTACTAACAGTTGCAGTCGTATCACAAAGACAGATAAAACGTCCTCATGTCCTCGTAAAAAGTTGGGACTTTCAAGAAGAATTAAATCGCATACAAATTCAGTTAGGAGTAATTTGCATGACGAATCAGAAAGCTCAACACCTTTTAGGAATCCTTGTGAGCTGTCAGCAAAACAACCTCTAAGTATAAGGAGTTCATTTTCTCCTGTTTTATCAATGCCAAATCATAATAGCGTTGCTTCCGACCATATGGACGTCAATAAAAATGAACGTGTTGATTTGTTTGTGGAACCTAATTCCCTAAATACTTCACAAGTTGATTCTTCCATTCGGTCCTTGACATCACCACCCATTGTCCCTCCTGTCCTAGAAGATGCAAATGATTCTTTAAACACGTTTTACTCTTCGTCTCCCCCTGAACATCCTCCACGAATCGAAGCTTCCGAATTTGTGAGTGATTCTGCGAACGTACGTCATCGACGTTTCAGTGGCCCTTCCGATTGCGTTGTGCGTCTTCAAGCGAAATCGTCACTAATGCCAATGTCCAACGTGTCACATCCTTATGAGCCAGAACTAAAATCATGGAAAGTAGTAACAAAAACTAAGCAAAAAAGCAAACAACACAAACTGAAGCGTCGCAGTGGAAATTCAAAGAAAAAATATCCCAAAATAAAACAGAAATTCAAAATAGCCAAGTAAGCTTCAAACATGTTCAGTTACACAGAATTCATGAGTAGATACTCAACAACATCTAACGTACGTAACTAAGTAAAACCTGATAGCTCTGTACGTTATATGTTCTTCTAAGCGGTGAATAGCTATAAATCTGTGATCGACTTTTTTTTTGTAATGAGGTATTAACTCACCTTTTATTTCAACTCTGAAGGTCTATTGTTGTTGGTTTCCAGTATGATCTTAGTATCTTCACTAGCTATTTTCATACTATAATTTAGCTGTATTTTAAATAAACTAGTGAAAAATGATATATTAATATTGGAGTCTCTGGTTGGTCCGAATTGATGACCGCTTATAGTACTTTATTTGATCTAATTTCAGTAGTTGTAATACCAGTCATTCAGTTATACGCAAGGTAGAACCTGACATACGAGTATATCGGTTTGAGTTGCCATACCACATTGCATTATGGTGCACGTAGAACTTGCTACCGTATGTCGATTTATAGGTAGTAAGCATTAGTATATATATTGTGAGCATTAACGGCACTATTCGCCTTTCTAAATAAAATTAGCTAAAGTCGGTCAGAACCCTCAGACTTTACTTGTCTAGTGAAGGCACATCATTAGCTCTTGAGTCGTTAAACGAACACTTATGATGGTTTTCTATAGTTATACATTAAGTATTCGTACCTTTTTTCCATTGTAAAGTTTGTATCTTTCTGCAAATATACTGTGTGGTCAATGCATCCATAAATTTGATATTGTATTATGTGTACGAAGATTTAAAAAATAATAAGTGGATGTATTATAACTCTTTTGTTACCGGAAAAGGATGGCCATGCATTATTTATTGTGGGTGATCGCAACACATTTATACAAGTGGATTGACTTCCTCTCTTTTGTTGAATAACATTGAAATACCTTATTACATGTTCAGACTGATTGTCCCCTTCCTATTTGTAGACAAGTTTTCCGTGATCTTCCTTTCTTTGTTAAGTTTTTCGTCCGATGTTTTCGCTAAGTGTATTAATTTGAATTGGCGAATTTACTTTTTGTTTAAAGGAAGTGTAACTGTATGTTAATGGCACCCAATCATTGAAACTAGAATTCACACCCTATTCTTTATTTTCTTACTTTATAGTAACAGTTTAACTAGTTCGGTGCTGTGCGACTATGAGTATGTTGATTCAGTTTCTCCTCAGCTGAAAGCCTTTTCTGATGTGAGTCAAAACTATGAAAAGTCAATCGCTTATTCAGAAGACAATCCCAATTTGTACAAAAACGAAGCTGCCGATTCTACTGCTTTCTGCAAAAACGATTCTGCATTAACATGTACTCCTGTCTTCATGGCAGATAGAAAGAGTTTATTTAAATCGGAGAACGATCGAAGTAATAGTGCAACCATGGGGTCAAGTTTAGTCTTTCAATCACATATCTCCCATGATATCATGCATACGAATGGCTGTTACTTTGACGAAATGAATTCCCCTACTCATGATAATTTGTCTGTTGAAACATCCGATTCACATTTGTGGTTTTCTGGAAAGTTAGAGTCTAATTCTAATAAATCTTCTTATCCTGTGTACGCTCATCAAAATGTTGATAGTTTAGATAGTCAGAGTCTAACTACACATCTCCCTTCGTCAACAGTATCTCCTTCATCACTGGGTAAGTTTGTGCCCATATCTAGTAATGCTATGAAACCTACAAATATGGTTTCAACTTATTTAGACTATATCTAGCATAAGGTCTGCAGTTTTCATGTCTATCTTTCTCAATGGGAGAATATGAGCGATTCAGAGTTTTATTGTTGTACTATTATAATAACTTCTTATTTGTCTCTGTTCAACGTAACCTTCATTGCCCATTGATGTTCATGAAGCATCCAATATAATTTTATTTTCAACATGACTGGAAAATATTTCCACTTTTGAACATCTACGAATAGTAATGTTCATTTTCAGGTGAACTCTAAGTTCATCTAATCGCTTTTAATACAAAAAAATCAAAAGGTCACTCCTGTTCCCTGTGCTACTATAAACGTATTTTTAACTCAAATACCATATCAAAGCGTCTCATCTATATATGACGAAGTCCATTACGTTAGTCTGTTTGAGCATTTAGTGTGAGAATTAATTTCTAAATCTGCTCCTTAATTTTGGTTTTCGAATAGCTATCCGTATTTCCAACTGACGCTTCAACGAGGCTCCAGGCATCACGTTTGGGAACTCATTTACTTTCCGAGTAAATTCAGTAAAATGTTTGATTGTCAATCCTAGCATCACATTGTTAAGGCTTAGAAATAATAGAACTCTAGTTTTGCGTTGCATCCTCAGTAAAATTCATGCTGTGTATTGGTCAAGCAGTCAGTTAGTCTCCCCAGATAGTTGATTGTTCCGTTTAGATCACACTTATTTTTCTGATATCACAACATGATACTGTCCCAGTTGATGAATTAATTAAGTTATTTAGCAACGCTACTATTTTTTTTCTCGAGCTAATTTCCTATTAGTTTGTTTTTGATCAGTTTAGCTTATATCCCTGTTAGTAGCTTCTGTAAAATGATCCCCACAGTGTTCTGTCAAGATAAACCGTCCTATTTATTGAAGTTGTTCAGCTATAAAAAATTCCAGGAAATAATTTCATTCATATCCAGTAATTTATCCGTTTTTGTAAACCTCTAAGATTCAGATGTTCAAATAGTCATAGTTTTTTTTAATAGTTGTATGTGGTAACTAAACATACCTTTACTCATTCTTTGTTGTAAAAGAAACCCAAGTGACCGGATATATTTTACCCATATATGTATATATATGAATTATAACCGTTTTTAAGTTAAAAATCAAGAGTAAGACATCAATTTTTTGTTATTAGCCAATTTATTCTATAAGGGAAATGATGCTATTAAAATTATGAATTCTCTTTATCGTACATTTTACAATCTCCAGTACGTGTACTAGATAATAATCTTATCTTATGCGTTTGATAATTCTGATAATCTTAACACTTCCACTGACTGAGTTAGGCCAATAGTACGAGGCTCAGTTGTGCTAAAAGTAACTTATCTCCGTGTAGACTTCCTTGGGTTGTGGTAGCCTTTATTGGACACGATTTATATGACATCTGGCACTGACTAAATGGAGAGATAAGGTTGGGAACTTCTAGAAGTTGGCATTTTTTAAATGCACACAGTGGTGACTGCTACCTTGACGTGGTGGTCGGGCTTGCCTATCGTGATGACCCAACCGAGCTATATTGGCTGGAACATATGTTTCTGTAGGTTCTACCATGCCAGGCAGGTCGATTGAAGAACGGTAAGACTAAAAGCAGCAACTCATAGTCTGAGGGCGAAGTTGTACTGCCGACTGTAGAGAGGTGTGGCAGCAGTAAGGTGTTTCCCTCGGACAACCAGCATCTGCAGCGATGCTGCCTTCTCACAAGAAAGGAGGGGGTTAGAAATGGTTGATCCTCACCTCACGGATTTCCCTCTCCGGTGGTAAGGCCATTTGAAGAACGGAGCTAACACATCAAAAACCTCCCACAAAAAGGCCGTGCGCGACCGGCCTCAAGCAGTTGTCCCCTGGGCTCTGCGGTCACGCTCCCAGGTCGTTAAGGCCGACATTAATCCGACTTCCTTTTCAGGTTCCTCTAGAGATACCCTTCTACGGTGTGGGCAACCGGGAAGTGACATCAGCCCTCATACCCGTAACAACATACGAGACCAAGTTGGTCACATTCAAATCCTTCCTACACCTCTTAATACCTCTCTTATCTCCCCGCCTAACCCCTCTCACGTCCATTTTTCACCTCGCACCGCTAGGGCCAACGATTTGAGTACACGGAACGTTATTCCTGGTCTCCTGAAACCACGCTCTAAACTACATGTAGGAGCTTTTAACGTACGAACACTGTGCCAAATAGGACAACAGGCTTCCTTAGCTAGGACTTTAGAATCCCGCGCCATCGATGCGTGTTGCGTCTCCGAAACGCGCATACAGGACCCGAGTAGCGTCATTCACTTGACATCACCATGTCAAAACAACGAATCAACTCGATTCACACTTCGTGTATCTGGAGGCCCAGATTCTGCTTCTCGTGGACTCGCCGGCGTAGGTTTAGCATTGAGTCCTAGGGCAGAACAAGCTCTCTTAGACTGGATCCCAGTAGACAGTCGTGCGCTGTCCGACTAAACGGAACAATAAGGACTCGGAAAGATAGGGACACTCGTCGTTGCCTCTTCGTCGTCTCTGCCTATTCTCCCACTGACTGCAGCTCAGATGATGTAAAAGATGAGTTTTACATAAAGCTCTCCGACCTTCTCCGAAAAGTTAGGCTCTCGGATGTAGTAATAGTGGCTGGTGACTTTAATGCTCAAGTAGGTAAACTAAGCGGAAGGGAAAGACACCTAGGTGGATCTTATAGCATCGTGGCTCAAAGAACAGGTGATGGCGACCGTCTGTTGCAGCTATGCTCAGATAACCGCCTGTTCCTTGCAAATACTAACTTTAAGCATAAGGAGAAACATCTTTTAACATGGCGATCCCCTAATTCGCCCCAACGTTGGTCCCAAATAGATCACATAGCTGTCAGCCACTGATGGAGGGGCTCGATAGAAGACTATCGCTCATTCTGGAGCACATGCCTAGATTCAGATCATGCTCTAGTACGAGCACGTATTTGCCTGCGTCTTACTGAACGTAAGAAAGACGCTGCAAGGAAACCTCTTAGGGTCCTATTTAATGATAGTCAAACTAAGAGTATATTTCAGGAACAACTAGGAAAACAGTTAGGCAGCTATGTAGGTGATGCCCACCTCGAGGCAGTATGGAATGATACCCGAAAAGCTGTGGAAACAGCAGTGATATCTGCTAGTAAGGTAAACCAGAAGGTTAGGGAGCAACACTGGATCTCAGCAGCATCTATCTCACTGATAAATGCTCGGAAACACATTCCACCTGGCTCTGAACATAATGAAGAGCGGAGTCAGCTTAAGCGCATGCTGACAAGAAGCCTGTGCAATGATCACGAACAGTGGTGGGTAGCGAAAGCAAGAGAGATAGAAAAGACGGCGGCAATAAGTAACAGCAGACGACTGTTCAAACTTGTTGAGCAAACCGGTGTTAGGAATCCAACTGTTAATGAAACTATCTCGGAAAAAATGGACGTATTATTCACTCTCAATCCAGGAGATTGGATCGATGGGTAGAACACTTTAGGGATCATTTCAGCCACACTTCGGTTTCCCACGATCTCCAGTCAACCTGAATGGCAAGTTAGTGTAGGTCCTCCGACTCTTTATGAAGTTGAAAAAGCCATAGAAAATCTGAAACGAGGGAGAGCAGCAGGCCCTGACAGGTTCACTCCTGAGATTTTTAAGGATGGTGGTCCAGTATTAGCAGTGAGATTAACTGTGGTCTTGGGTAGAATTTAGGAGCTGGACGTAATCCCATCTGACTGGTCTCAATCACTGATTGTGCCAGTCTATAAGCAAGGACAAAAGTCCTCTTGTGACAATCACAGAGGAATCAGTTTGACTAATATAGTGTCTAAAATATTAGCTTCAATAATACTTCGACGCCTAACCAAAGCTGGTGAAGAACACGTTAGAGAAAACCAGACTGGTTTTCGACCTGGACGAGGTTATGTAGACCAGATATTCACACTACGTCAGGTCCTAGAACATAGATAGACATTCAGACGCCCCACAATCGTGGTATTTCTCGACCTTAAGACAGCATTCAACTCTGTTGATCGTGAGGTTCTATGTTAGTGTTTGTCACTGAAAGAAGTACTTTAACCTTATAAAGGCTCTCTACTCGAACATAACTGGTCGAGTGAGAGCTTATGGCGAACTGTCATCAGAATTGATTATCTCAAGTGGTGTTCGTCAGGGCTGTCCACTCTCCCCATTCTTGTTTAACTTTGTCATTGACGTGCTTTTAGAGATAACACTTTCCTCATCTAAATTTCCAGGAGTTGAACTTTTACTGGGAGATTCACCTATTGACTTAGAATATGCGGATGACATTTGGTGAAGACGCTGACGGAATGCAGAGTCTTCTGACCACTATAAACAGCAATGCAAGGATGTTTGGGGTGCGATTCTCCCCCTCGAAATGCAAAATGTTGCTTCAGGATTGGGTTGCATCCACACCCGAAATAATGATAGGGAGTGAAGTAGTTGAGCGTGTCGACCGCTTCACTTATCTTGGGAGTCTCATCAGCCCTTGTGGTTTAGTGTGTGACGAAATCTCAGCACGGATACAGAAGGCTCGACTAGCTTTTGCCAACTTGCGTCATTTATGGCGTAGGCGAGATATCCGTCTACCAACCAAAGGACGTGTTTACTGCACAGCAGTTCGTCCCGTCCTACTTTATGGCAGTGAAACATGGCTGATAAGAATAGAGGATGTTCGTGGGTTACTAGTATTCGATCATGGGTGTCTTCGAAACATTGCTCGTATATCATGGGAGCGCCGAGTAAGTAATGCAGTTAGGAAATGGGTACTAGGTAAGGATGGCAAGTCGATTGATGACGTAGTGAAACTTGATCAGTTGAGATGGCTGGGACATGTGTTACGTATTCCAACCACCGACTGCCACGACGTGCGATGTTTTCTGATGTAGGAGTAGGTTGTAAGAAAGCTAGGGGCGGCCAGATCAAAACATGGCACAAGTCCATGAAGTCACTGACAAGTGGACTGCGCCATGTTGTCAGGTGTAGACTACCTGGTTGGGGTCTGCGAGATGATAGCAACCGATGGTTAGAGACCTTAAATGACATGGCTCAAAATCGTTTGCACTGGTGCAAGTGCATCAACTCTTTGTGTCTTCCCAAATTCTAATCTCTTGAATTCTCCTTTTATCGTTTTTTCTCTTTCCAAGTTTATTTCACTGTATTATACTCCTTGAATAACATCTTCAAACCCTGATCTTTCCGATTACTGCTTATATTCTTACTACCTCTACCACTACGGGATTTGAATCGGCAACTACATCTGTGCTAATGTGGTGTGGCAACTCGAATTGATGTACGTACGTACGTACGAAGTTCTACTTTGTTACTGACTGACTGTGACTAGGATTCATGTAGTAACTAATTGTTAGTTTATTGGTGTACACAAAACACCACTATCATTAGAACTACAAATATCTCTGAAGATAAGATTCTAGTGAGTTACTTAAGGTGGTTTGTCGCTTAGTGTATGAATTTCGGGATCAAATACTTTAAGACGCTTTTGATCTATCTCACAGGCAAATATCAAGGCCACAGTTTCCCATTATTCATATCGGAAGTAGCAAATAATTAAATAAAATGTATTTTTTAAAGATTTTTATTCTATTGTTTATGTAAATATTTTACTATATTATGGATCGACTTATGGAAAGGCTGTATTCTCTCAATTCATGTCTCAGATATCTTAGCTGGTGAAATTTCACAATAACTGATCCAATATCATAATGAGTACTCTACGTTTAACTTCGATAAAGCCTATCCAACTGTCAGTCACTTCAAGTCAAGTGAAGTATATTGGTCGAAAAATATTAGACAAAGAAAAACAATACGCATACAAACGATAGTTTGAAGTTGCTGGCCATAATTCACTTATCAAAATTATGTATCAGACGACTAACAAGAGACATTTCACTCATCAGTTTTAACTGTTTGTGTATAAAATTTCAGATTTAGGATCGTTTCCTTTTCCTAATCCTACTCAGTGGACTATTGAAGAAGTATACAACTACATTACGGCTCGTGATGCTACTCTCCTTGAAGCAGCGGAAAAATTCAAACATCATGTATGTTTTTTGTCATCGTTAATACTGTCCGCTTTCTCTTACTTATTTCCATAGCTCAAACCAAAGTGGGCCATTCTTTTATTTTACAAATAATTACTGGTCCTCAGGTTTTATGTTATGGTGTTTTTTTTCAGCACGAACGGTGCTTTGTGTACAAGAATCCAGAAGTCCCACGAAGTAGGTCAAGTATCAAATTGAGACTGGAAAACGCAATATGCTAATTTAGGATGTTTTTAATTCAGGATGAAATCTTTTGTAACCTAGCATGTCACATTTTTTCATATCACTGCTGGATTAAAAACTTGAGTAGCGTTCGCAATCAACCTTGTATTGTAACACCGATACTTTGATATTAAAAATACCTCTTATCGTGGTGCACACATCACATCAGTTAGTCATGCAGTTTTCAAGTTTTTTAGTCTTATAATTAGTTGAAAAACCGTCAGTTAATACTGATGCTGGTGTTTATTACAAAGAGAATAATAAGTTTGCTTTTTTCAATAGACCTCCAATTATGATAATCCATGTTAGCTATATTCACCGGTTATGCGCGATATTTACCTCCTTACACACTAGTGACGAATTTTTTATGTTGCAGTTGGTCAAGAACTGTTTTTGACGAATAGATCTTTAGTACTAGTATCTTCACTAGCTATTTTCATACTATAATTTAGCTGTATTTTAAATAAACTAGTGAAAAATGATATATTAATATTGGAGTCTCTGGTTGGTCCGAATTGATGACCGCTTATAGTACTTTATTTGATCTAATTTCAGTAGTTGTAATACCAGTCATTCAGTTATACGCAAGGTAGAACCTGACATACGAGTATATCGGTTTGAGTTGCCATACCACATTGCATTATGGTGCACGTAGAACTTGCTACCGTATGTCGATTTATAGGTAGTAAGCATTAGTATATATATTGTGAGCATTAACGGCACTATTCGCCTTTCTAAATAAAATTAGCTAAAGTCGGTCAGAACCCTCAGACTTTACTTGTCTAGTGAAGGCACATCATTAGCTCTTGAGTCGTTAAACGAACACTTATGATGGTTTTCTATAGTTATACATTAAGTATTCGTACCTTTTTTCCATTGTAAAGTTTGTATCTTTCTGCAAATATACTGTGTGGTCAATGCATCCATAAATTTGATATTGTATTATGTGTACGAAGATTTAAAAAATAATAAGTGGATGTATTATAACTCTTTTGTTACAGGAAATAGATGGCCAAGCACTTCTTCTTCTTAGCATGGAATCACTGCGTAATTATATGAAGATTAAATTGGGTCCGGCTTTGAAAATGGTCCATCTTATCAGTCGTCTAAAACGTGGGTTGCTGTAACAGCTAGTCTTCGGAGTTTGGCTTCTTTATTGGTCCTTTATATTTCAATTATACCATCCGGACAATAACAATTTGCAGATGATGAATGTTCCTAAATCTTCTCTAAAATTTATGTGTATCTGTGTTTCTAATCTATTTTCTTAGTACTCAAATTGACAGATCTTTATGAGTTCAATGTAGTTGGATTCATTCGGTTAATATAACTGTTCAATATGAAAAATCGTCTTGAATAAGACTTGTGTTTTTTCTCATTGATGCTAACGTTACCTCTTTAGTATCTTCTACTTAAGCTTTGTTAATTAAGTTTGGTCTGTTTTATTTATATATATAAAGATTCGAACTGTTTTTCGTAGCGGACAAAATTATTTTGCGTTTGTTATGTTGCATAAGCTGGTATATACGTGCTTACTTAGGTCTGTTACACCCTTTTTGCATGCTAGGGTTGGCTCTTATATGTCTCTTGATATCACGGTTAAAGTCCCTGTTCCTTAAACCTGTTACCCGTCGCGGAGGAGCATAGGCCGCCCACCAGCACTCTCCACCCAACTCTGTCGTGGGCTGTCCTTTCCACTTGCTGTTAATCCTTCTCATATCTCTTTCCATTTCCCGACGTAGTGTGTTCTTCGGTCTTCCTCTTTTCTGCTTCCCTTCAGGATTCTAAATTATGGCTTTCCTCGTGATGCAGTTTGGTGATTTCCGTAATGTAGGTCGTATCCACTTCCAACGTCTTTTTTAATTTCCTCTGCAGCTGGAGTCTGGTTTGTTGTTTCCCACGGTAGGCTGTCGATGATGGTTTCCGGTAGACGAATATTGAGTATGTTGCATAGACAATTGTTTAGAAGTATTTATACCTTATTGGTAATGGTTGTAGTTCTCCAAGTTTCAGCTCCGTACAGTAAAACTTTCTTTACGTTCGTATTAAAGATTCTGACTTTGATTGCGGCTAACAGTTGTTTTGAGTTCAATATATCCTTCAATCTTAGTAATGATGTCCTTGGCTTTACGTCCGCATCAAATCCTCCACCTTCATCGATGATGCTGACCAGGTACGTGAAAGTTTCAACTTCTTTCAGAGCTTCCCCATTAAGTGTGATTGGGTTGGTGTTCGTTGTTTGTACTTAGGGATCTTGCATTTCCCGTTGTGTATGTTGAGGCCTACTGATGCAGAGGCTGTTGCTACTCTAGTTGCCTTCTGTTATGACTTTAAGTTGCTGTTGATTTTTACCCTGTGCTAATTGTGTCCTGGAAAATTAGAGAGCAGCGTACTTATCGATCGACTACAGTGACACGTAAACACGAACGAACGGCCTACAGTTCTGATTGGTCCTGCTTCCCTGTCCAGCCCAGCCAGTTGAGTCCAGAACACAAGTCACAGCCTCGGGGATATGAATCATTATATTTCAAACATACTTTGTTTATATACTAATCAAGCATACCACATCGTACCATAAAAATAGAAAACAACATTGTGTACAATACTCAACAAGTGAACATATATCGACCAATAGGGAATGTCCATTTAAAGTCCACGGACATCATTGGACTTAACATGATAATTATTGGTCTATTCCTCCGCATCCACAACACCTTCACTTGCATTTGTTCGTGTGTATGAGATAGAAGGGCCAGGTTATCTGCGAATTTCAAATTTTCTAATTGATCCCGAGCTGTTTATCGTATTCCGTGCTTCCCTTCAGATATCGAGGTCTTCATAATCTAGTCGAGCATCAGAAGAAGGAGAGTAAGCAGCCTTTCAGTAGATCCTGTAAGGCTTGGAAACTGTTGTTGAGAGTTATCTTGACTTCGTCCAGTTTGTTAGTATCTCGAAGGAAAGCTGTATTGAGCGTTCGTAATGTAGCGGTAAATAAATCACCAAAATAAATAGCACTAAGTTTTCGACATTGGATGCTGACCATATGTTTTAGTGGACTCATCTAGCTGAAGGCGCTCGGTCATGCATCCGCACCAGATCACGTGTGGTAACGCCGTGCTCAACATCAACCGCAATCGCTAGCCAGATTAGATCAGAGAATTCCGATATATTGGTCATCGCCAAATATACTCTTCCGATCTCCTCGACTCTGTCTTTTGATTTCTCTGGGCGGGAACGAAATACATTAGGTGTTACTGGTAGAAGCGTTGTCAAACACTGAATACCTGTGACATCATCAGTAATACTGTTTCCCCGGCAATCCATTGTCTTTTTGGCTTCAGTTTCATCCTGGACACAACCAGGTGATTATATGAAGCTATGTCAGCTCCTCTCCTAGTTTTCACGTCTTCCATTGTCCTTCTGAATTTTTTATTGATACAAATACGATCTATCTGGCTGTCTGTGGTGTGATCCTGTGAGACCCATGTAGCTTGACGTATGCGTCTTTGTAGGAATATTGTTCCGCCTATAACTAATTTGTCTTAACTCGTTTTGTTTCTTTCGTCCGCACAACTTATTCTCGTTATTTTTAATATATGTATATCTCTCTCAGGTACATTGTTTCGAACTGTGGGATTGAGAACCTATCAAGTTAAGTGACAGGTTCTATGTTGCTGGTTCGGTTTTTCATATTTCCAGTATTTTTATTTTCCACGCGTTTAGAAGCACTAGGTTTAGCTGAAGTGAAATATTTTGTATTTGGATATTAAATAATATACATTCATACTCAGTGTTTAGATCTCCCATCAGGATTCTCATGTCCTCTCTTGGTCATTTTTGTACAATCGATAGCTGTTTCTCATAATGCTGAACTTAATCGTCGTCGTTGCTATCATTGTTGAGTGCATAGTAATGGAAAACACTCGTTTGGTTTTACTTCTTTGTTATGATGGATGCTTTGATAATCCTGGATCCATTAGATTCCTATCTTATATGTGCTATTAGTGCTTCTTTGGACAACATCAGAACAATTCTTTTCGTGCGTGAAGCTTTTTCTTTGAGACCGTAGTACGACAACAATCTCGCCTGAATCTAATCTTTTCCGTTCAGTTTGAGTACAATAGTTTTCAATTATTACGAACAACATCAAGTTGTATCTCCGTAGCTATTTGATTGCTCCTTGTTATGGCTATTTCATCTGCCGAGTATAATATGTCAAAATCGACAATCAGAAAACCGACTTACATGACCTTGTTCTTGTGGCAAACCAATGACATGTCATTCAGCATTAGCAGCCTTGCCTCAACTATGAATCTTTGTTGGTCCCTATCGCACTCATCTCTGTCGTTGCATTCTTCACTATTAGTCTAAAAGAAACATCTGCAGTCAAGCTCGGCAGAAGGAGTAGTCGAAGTTTATAACAGTAATAGCAACTCACCTTCGTGGCGTATTTTTTTAAGAGTGGCGTTTAACGGATGCTATTTTCTCTCGTGTCTATTTGACGTACTAAAGCAAGGTAAAAACGGTGGTACTGGAATGCGTGGTGAACTTGATTATCATGTAACAGAATATTAAAATCTGTTGTAGAAGGCCTAAGCAGTATATAGTAAATTCATGTTCACAGAACTGCGCAACAGATTTTGGGTTTTTTTGCCTAAATTTTGGGAAATTACCAACATACCTATTGGCCCTATAATTATATATCTAAATTATTAATCCATAAAATGGGACAGGTTTAGGGCAGAGAGCATCA